GCATTACCATTCTTTAGTTTTAAAACAATTTTACCAATTCCTTTAATTTTGCAAGAAAAATCATTTCCCAAAATTACTTGTGCTCCATTAATTTCCAGAAAATCAGTTTAGTATTTTTTACAAGGTGTCATATGAAAAGTGCACCATAAATCAAGCATTCAGTCATCTTTAGTTGAAGATTGACAAGTCATGTAGACTTGTCCATTTGAAGTTGCAGCTTCTTCATAAGCAATGACAGCTCCGTATTTTTCAGTTCACTAATCCTCTTGACACAATCTTTTATGAAATGACCTAATTTTCGACAAAAGTAACATTTCTTTCCTTTAACTTTATTATTATTCTTTTTGAATTTAAATTTGTCTTTTTAGAGTTTCCAAAGTATTTTTTTGGTTTTCCAAAACTTTTGTTTAAGTAATAGTTATTGTTTCTTTGAAAGGAATTATGTCCTTTAACATTGTAACCAATCCTATTTGTGGATGTTTTCAAATCACTTTTAAATTCAAGTTCTTTATTTCTTAAAAAAGAAACAATAACATCAACAGTAATGGAAGTTCTTCCATATTCAAGGGCATTTTTCAATTCTTTATATTTTTCAAGTAAGGGTGATAATAATGCTACAGATTGTTGATCATCAGAAAGAGTCTCACCATTATTGGTAAGATCTTGGGATAGTTTATTAAATCTGTTAAGATTTGTTTCAAGATCACAGTTAGGATCAAACTTGAAACTAAAAAAATGTTTCCACAAATAACATTTATTGGGAAGAGTCTTAGTTTTATAAATGGATTAAAACTTTGTCCAAATTTGAGCTGCAGTCTCAGTCTTCCTATTTCCCTAGTAACACTATCAGATAGATGCAAGAAAATGGTGCTCCATGCATCGTCTTATTCAATTCTTTTATTATCAACAATTTCTTCACCCCAAGATTCATCAAAGATTTTAGCACATCTATTATGCATTAAAAGAGCCTTCATTTTTTGACTTCATAGATTAAAATCTCATTTGTGATTCCAAATTTCAACATCAACTTTTATACTTTCCACATTTAAACTTCGAAAAACAATGACTGTTTAACAATTTAAAAATCAAGAAAAATTTTGATGTACAGAGTGCAGAGAATATCAATCAACAAATATAAGCACACAAAGTGCTAATGTGTAGAAGCAATTAACACAAATGTAAAAGTATATGATCGGCTAAACAGGCAATTCCAATATAACCAAATCATAGTATATACAATTTTTCAAAAATCAGAACTTAGTGTAATCTTGAAGAAACTGTTAATCTTAGTCCCCTCAAATTCTAAGGTTTTCACATGAAACCCTAGACAAAGGAAGATCCAAGAGGGTTTCAACCAAGAGATCCAAGAATATCGTCAGATCGAATGATGATAAGAGAGATAGGGTTAGAAACTCGTTACCAAAGGTCTCAGATCAACGGTGTAAAATAGTGAATACCAGTACTATTTTACTTTCTCCGCAAAAATGAAGATCTAACCCTTTACAGTATAGATTTTTGAAGATCTAGGGTTTTGATTGTCAAGAACACCAGAAAATCTCATATCGAAGAATCTAAGTGCAATCGAAGAGCTCTGATACCACTGTTGTAATACACAGTGCCAGATAACACCAAGCAGATAACATAAATTAAAGAACACCAAAGATTTTTTGCTTTTAAACTGTGATGTTCACCCTAGAAAGGGCTAATCACCACGTTGAGCATCCATCAAAGTGGTTATCGCTCTAATCCACTAGAAACTAACAAAGATTATCAGTACAAGAGTCAAAATACAGAAATCCAAACGGATTTAGCCCACAGACCTAGTTTTCTTCTCTCAAGAACAGTCAACCTCGATTACATCAAGTAACTAAAGGTTACTACTCAACCAAGAATAGATTCACCAAAATTGCACAACAATCTACACTAGACTTCACAAAAAATATCTAGAACCAACATATTACATACGAAAATCAAGAGTTTTCAAAGAGAGAACAGAGAGAGCAAAAATAAGATAAAACCCTAGGCAATATCTCGAACATTCAGCAAAATGAAGAGTTGAGCCAATAATACAAAAAGGTCAGAAGCATCCAATGGTTACAACACTTTTAATTGGCATCATTACAACCTTTCAAAATAATAACCGAAGTCGCATTTCAGCGAAAGGCGAGAATGTACAAAATGGAAAAGGAAGCAACCAGGTTGCATTCTATCAACTTGGGCTGGACTCGGTTTTCATTGGACTGTATCATTGGGCCATCTAAATGAGTTACATCATTGGGCAAAAGTGTTAAGCACACAGTTAAACAGAATTACCCATTTTTTGCCATTTTTCATAAAATCAGCATTGTACTTTCATCATGTCATAATAAAACACTGAATCAATAAAAATATTAAAAAATAGTTGCAGTATAAAACATTTCGTAATCAATATATGAAAATACATAAAAAAAAATCTCTTGAAAACATTTAAAAACATCTTATGCACATAAACATTGCTTGTTACCGCGGACTAAAAATTCACACAAAATAAGTAACATTATAATTAACATGGAAATCTATTGTTTGATATTTACAGGACTTTCTAATCTTCTTAACTCCTGCAAAAAAAAAAAAAAAAAAAAAAATACAAACCATAAGCAATTATGATAATGATATCTTCTAAACACTAATAGTAAAGGTAACATTTTCGACAATAGTCGGATGGAAACTATACAAACCTAACAAAACCAATTAATAAGTAAATTCTCAGAACGTTAATACACACATAATCTTTGGAAGCAAATAGCGAGAGAAGTCTCGGATTTGCCACATCTTGAAATCTCAATAGAAGCATACAATAAAATACATATAACTATCATTAAACTCCACATATATACCCATAAAAAGATCACTATCATCTCCCTAGTATGCCAAATCCTTATTCCTTCACCTTCGAACACAAGACTATGGCTTAGCAAACTGGAAAAACTCTAATAATTTAGCAGAGAAAAATAGCTAACATTTCTTATTGCAAGAGTTGGAGATCTAGAAATCACAAAAAAAAAAAAAAAAAACATGTAAAAAATATTTCATGTAGCCGTCTTCAAATTTATTGAGAATAAAACTTAGATTGTTATTAGTCTAAAGAAAAATAGCTGTAATACTCCTATAGCTTAAATAGATATTTCATTTGTTAGCTACTCAACTCTTTAACTTCATTTGGGAGAGATTATGAATTTAATTGCGATTCTGGTTCAAAAAGGTGAGGCGTGTTTGAGCTCGTGTACGTGGCATTTCATTTTTTTTGTTCGAGTTTTTCAACGGCTACGTGTGAAACTGTCATCCACATAGGCGCTTAGATGAGATGGAAGTTAGCCGGAAAGCAATGGAGTGCAACTTAAAAAAGGTCAGTGAGTAATCGTGTGCAAAGTAAAGTAAGGTGAGTGAACGTGTGTCTATTCAAATATTTAACTTGAAAATTTGGAGGGTGTTTGATGGAGATTAAAATTAAATTTTTAGTAGATTGTTATTTAAGTTTTTGAAATGTGTGGTTGAGAAGTTGTGGGACTCATAAAAAATGTGGTTAATATTGATTGTTTGACTTTGATTTGGATTAAAATCAGATTTTAATCCAAACCAAACAGGGGGCTTGATGAAATTTTGTGCCACGTGAGCAGCTCTGTAGTCTGTCCCATGTCGAAATGCCTGCAAGTGATGGATGAAGAGTAAGGAAGTGTTTGATGGATATTATGGTGCGTTTGATTGTAATGGTGGAAAATAGGCGGAAAAAAATGTTTTATAGGGAAAAGATTTGCCTAAAAAATGTTTTGTAGGGAAAATGATTTCAAATGTGTTTGATTGGTATAATTTTCCACCCAAAAAATTTTTAAATTTTTTATTCGTTTGACTTTGTTTTACATGGAAATTGTCCATTAAAGTGATATTTTTTCCACAATTGGTTATAAAATTTGTTTCCATTGCCAAAAAGTAAAAAAAAAATTNAAAAAAAAAAAATTTGCATCAGCCGGTTGGATAGGAAAATATTTTCAAGGAAATCAAGGAAAATGCTGACGTGGAGGGTGGGGTGGGAAAATATTTTCCGGGGAAAATTTAGGCTATCAAACAGCGCAAAAGATGGAAAATGAAAAATATTTTCCTACTTCCCTGGAAAATAATGTATTTTAAATAGTGATGTGATGGAAAATATGTTATTAAAAAATAAGAAAAAGTTTTGGATGTTATGTAAAATATTTTTTTATTAAAAAATATGTGGTTGAAACTTGAAAATAAATTTTAAAAGAATAAATTTTGAAAGAGCGTGAATCAAACATGAGCTAATTTTAAAAAGTTAGGGATATCTGAACATCATTTTGAAGTCAAAAATGCTGTGAATACAAATTTTTTCTACAGAATTTTCACTAAAAATTTGAATTTTACTCACATGGGGTCCAAGGTGGACCACATGTGATTAAAAAATTATTTTTCTACCCACCCACCCCCTATTGTTTCTATCATGTACCCATAGCAGAACTCTTCTGAAGTTCAGCGACATCTTATTACCCGACCCTAAGTTGAGTCATTTTTGAAATAATTAATCCAAATGTGAATTTAAATGTTAAACAGTCCAAAACGTTTTAAGAGCGTGTTCGATAAAGATTAAAATTAAAAAGTTAATCGTTATTATTTATTTTTATTAAACGAGTGAAATTCAATAACGACTATATTTATAATTTTAATTGAATTTTAATCTCCTTAAAATATGCTCCACAAGAAAAAGATATTGTGGTCTTTTCAGATTTCGAAAAGATTGCTTTCTTCCCATCAAAGTTCAAACTCACTTTTCAATCTCTGTCACCTCATTCAACCTCCCTTGACTCATCCGCCATCGCCATTCTTCCTGCCTTAGACACACAGAGAAAGAGAGGTAGGGAGGGAGGAATACAAACAAAATGCGCTTCTTCCTATTTCTCTCTCTCTTTCTCCTTCACCTACACTACTCTACACCAGCAAGACCGTCCCGGATGCCGGAATACAACGCATTGCTCTCTATCAAAGCCGCCATTAACGACGACACACAATCCGCTTTGGCCTCCTGGGATGCCTCAACCGGTTACTGCGCTTGGCGGGGCGTCACGTGCGATCCTTCCCGGCGTCACGTGACTGCACTGGACATCTCCAATCTCGGTCTCTCCGGTACCCTCTCCTCCGACGTCGGCCACCTCCGGTATCTTCGAAATCTCTCTGTCGCTGCCAATAGTTTCTCTGGTCCCATCCCTGTTGAAATCTCCCATAGCCCAAACCTGCGTTATCTTAATCTCTCCAACAATGGTTTCAACTCAAGCTTTCCGATCCAGCTTTCCCGCCTCAAAAATCTCCAAGTTCTCGACCTTTATAACAATAATATGACTGGTGAGTTTCCAGCACAACTGTCTTTACTCATTACTCTTCGTCATTTAAATTTCGGGGGAAATTTTTTCACCGGTCAGATTCCGCCGGCGATCGGCACCTTCTCCAACCTTGAATACCTCTCGGTTTCGGGTAACGAGCTCACCGGGTATATTCCCGGGGAGATAGGAAACTTGACTGAACTCAAGGAACTCTATATTGGCTACTTCAACAACTTTTCTGGTGGTATACCTAAGGAGATTGGAAACTTATCGGAGTTGATAAGGTTTGACGCTGCAAGTTGTGGACTCTCCGGGGAGATACCGGTAGAACTCAGCAAGTTGCAGAATCTGGATACTCTCTTTCTTCAAGTGAACGGCCTTTCTGGTTCCTTGACTAAGGAGCTAGGGAAGTTAAGGAGCTTAAAATCAATGGATTTGTCTAACAATATGCTTTCTGGTGAAATACCACCCAGTTTTGCCGAGCTCAGAAATCTGACTCTGCTAAATCTTTTCAGGAACAAGCTTACAGGATCCATACCCGATTTTATTGGGGAGTTACCTGAGTTGGAGGTTTTACAGTTGTGGGAAAACAACTTTACAGGAAGCGTTCCACAGAACCTGGGGACTAATGGGAATCTGAAGGAAGTAGACGTTAGCTCCAACAAATTGACCGGAATCCTGCCGCCCAATCTTTGTAATGGTAATAAGCTTCAGAAGATAATCACTCTAGGAAATTTTCTGTTTGGTCCGATCCCGGAATCCCTAGGTCAGTGCGAGTCACTGAGTCGAGTACGGATGGGTGACAACTATCTGAACGGTTCGATTCCAAAAGGACTCTTTAGCTTGCCTAAGTTAACCCAACTCGAGCTCCAAGATAATCTTCTCTCTGGTACTTTTCCAGGGACAGAAAAATTGTCTAAGAGTCTGGGGCTGATTTGTCTTTCTAACAATCATCTCAACGGGCAATTGCCCTCAAGTATTGGGAATTTTGCCGGTGTTCAGAAGTTATTGCTGGATGGGAACAAATTTTCAGGCTCGATTCCATCTGAAATTGGGAATTTACAGCAGCTATCAAAGATGGATTTGAGCAATAACAATTTTTCTGGCCCCATTTTGCCGGAGATCAGCAAGTGTAAGCTGTTGACATATGTTGATCTCAGTCGGAATCAATTTTCAAGTGAGATTCCAACAGAGATCACTGGTATGAGGATTTTAAACTATTTGAATTTGTCAAGAAATCATTTGGCTGGGAGCATTCCAGCTTCGATAGCTAGTATGCAGAGTTTAACTTCTGTTGATTTTTCGTATAACAATTTGTCGGGGTTGGTTCCCAGCACTGGACAGTTCAGTTATTTCAATTACACTTCGTTCTTGGGGAATCCCAATCTTTGTGGCCCGTATTTGTGGCCTTGCAAAGAAGGCAACATTGGAGTCCAAAGGCCACCTAAGAAAGGGACTCTCTCTCCTTCCATGAAGCTTGTGCTTGTGCTTGGATTGCTTGTATTTTCCATTGCATTCGCAGTGGTAGCAATTATTAAGGCCCGTTCATTGAAAAAGACAACTGAAGCTCGTGCCTGGAAGCTTACTTCTTTCCAGCGCTTGGATTTTACATGCAATGATATTTTGGATTGTTTAAAGGAAGATAATATTATTGGGAAAGGAGGTGCTGGTATTGTTTATAAGGGAGCGATGCCTAATGGTGAGCAGGTTGCTGTTAAAAGGTTAGCCTCAATGAGTCGAGGTTCTTCCCATGACCATGGTTTTAATGCTGAGATACAGACATTAGGGAGGATTAGGCACAGACACATTGTTAGATTACTGGGGTTCTGTTCCAATCATGAAACAAATCTTTTGGTTTATGAGTATATGCCTAATGGGAGCTTGGGGGAAGTGCTTCATGGCAAGAAAGGCGGTCACTTGAATTGGGATACAAGGCATAAGGTTGCTGTGGAGGCTGCAAAGGGGCTTTGCTATCTTCATCACGACTGTTCACCTTTGATTGTTCATCGTGATGTTAAATCCAATAATATTCTTCTGGATTCTAATTTTGAAGCTCATGTAGCTGATTTCGGACTAGCCAAATTCTTGCAAGATTCTGGAGCATCGGAGTCCATGTCAGCCATAGCTGGTTCTTATGGGTATATCGCTCCAGGTATGACATAGTAACTCAAGTTTTGAAATTCGGGGAGATATGTGAGTCAAATGTTTTTGGTGATGACTGACTTATTTGTTATGTGAGTAGTTAATTGTCAATGATATTAGATTTCATCAACTCACTTTTCACTGATGATCATATTCCTTAATTGAGACGTGGCATTCACTTGTTTCTATAATTTCTTCTTATAGCCTGAGTTGACTTGTTCACTTCCCGTTCACATAATAAGGGTTCTATTCTTGTGTTTATGTGTTTGAAATGATCAGTCCCTTTCACTTTTCAATTGGCATCTTACTACCAAAGAGAATGGCTACAGGAGAACAAGAACATAATCTTTGACTAGCGATTTAAAAATGATTGTACCTATCTATTTGTAGTTGAACCACACACATGAAAAATGATATATTGATACTGAGAAGCTGTCGAAAATTAAGTGTTTTATTAAACCTTGATTTATTGGTTTAAATTTAACCTTTTTAGAGTATGCCTACACGCTCAAGGTGGATGAGAAGAGTGATGTGTACAGCTTCGGTGTAGTTCTTTTAGAACTTGTAACTGGAAAGAAACCTGTTGGGGAGTTCGGGGATGGTATTGACATAGTCCAATGGGTTAAGAAAATGACAGATGGGAAGAAGGATGAGGTGCTCAAAATCCTCGATTCAAGATTACCTACAGTTCCTCTCCATGAGGTGATGCATGTATTCTATGTTGCAATGCTGTGTGTTGAGGAACAAGCTCTGGACCGCCCCACCATGCGTGAGGTGGTGCAATTACTTACCGAGCTTCCAAAGCCAGCAAGCTCCAATTCAGGTGATTCAACAGTCTCGGAATCCCCTGCTACATCGAATTTAGCATCTCCAGCCACACCTCCAACAAAGAACTCGGAGGACCACCAGCCAGAGTCACCAGATCTTCTTAGCATTTAAGGCGCTTTATCTTTTTTTTCCCCCTGTATTGTTCATGGATTTCAAATTTTGTACAGTAATAGGGTTGATGGGCATTTTTCTAATGCTATAACTTATGTTTATCATGTGCTGGCTGTGATTCTGTGACTTGCAAAAGTAGAGTTGAAAATGTGTATTATTTTAGGTCCCATTAGGTTTTGGTCCATAGATTAGTGTGCTTTATTTGAAAACTCAACTGCATAATTGGTTTGACTAAATGGATTCTTGTGCAATAGCACTGGATTTCAATTAAGTAGGCTGTCGATGGGATAGAGAACTCCTCTATATGTAGAGAACCTTGTTATGCGAACATGGGGGATGATCGAACACACACACTTCGGGGGTTGGGCATTATTTTATTCATACGGGACTCACGAGCAATGTGAGAGTTGGCCATCCGTGGTGTCAACAATTTTCGGGTAAAGTGACTTTACTCATATGTAGAAACGTTTTTTGAGTCACTAAGATTTGAAGTCGAGTCGATCTATAGACATCGTCATTGTTGTAAAGGTGGTATCATTATAGTGAGGAATAAAAGAATATATGCTACTTTGGCTCAAAAAAGAAATGGTTTTCAATCACATATTCTTAAAAAAAAAAAAAAAAAATTTATTTTTCACTTGAAAAAATCAAGTATCAAACAAGCTTTAGGTCTGAATAAGCCAAGACAATACAACTAACAAATATTTGACAATTCTATGTAGTTAGTTATAAAGCATCATCAGGCAAATCAGTAAAAATGTTTGATTTTCACGGGTTGGTTAGTAAAGTGGACTGTAAAGCAATAGTCCTTTTCGTTTGTTGAGCTTTTGAATCGTTAGTTGGAGATTCTGTTCCTCCTCAAATCTCAAGTTTACCCTTCTCCTATGTTTGGCTCATCTTCATAAATTATTTTTTAAAACCACTTTTTAATTAAGTAATTGACGAATTTAATAAATTAATAAATATGTCGATTATAATTTATAATATCAAAGTATCAAACCTCATCCCACCAACCGGACAAAGACATTCATGCGCATGCATTATTAGGGTTCAATGGTTGAAGATTCTAACTATTATTAAATATTAACGTTGGTGTCTAACAATTTGATACGTGCATGCTTACGAACAACAATTATTGCTCACTGATTGATAAGTACTAACGTAATTAATACTTACGGGGAGAAAAATAGAGTAATGAATAAAATTTTTTGGAGAATGTGTGGTTGGAATTTAAAGTAATTTTATTGATTTGTGTATATAATATTTTATTGAGTGAATTTGGATGAAGAGTCTTACTGCAACGAATAATTTTTTGAAATAATGATAGACAAACAGGGACTTAATCACCAACCGGTAATCAAGGATAAAGCAGAAAAGATCTTTTTAGCACAAAAGTCAATTGAAAATTGCACTGAACTCCTTGAAGAATCGAATTATTACACAGACGATTTATCTCTTTTTAAAAGTTCCAAAAAATTGTCAGTCCAAGTAAAAACAAAAACATTTTTTTTTTCACAAACCTTTACAGATTTGAACCTATCGCTAATTGATATTGAGATTATCTTTCATTTCCTTCTTAAGGAAATGCCCTTCTCAATACCTGCATTCGTAGTTATTAAACCTGATTTGATTATCGACCCGATCAAGATACTTTATCATTGAATTTCTAGTTAGATCGGTGAATTGATGGTCAGACCGATGAGTCATTGCTTAAAAAAAATTTGAAGTATAATTTTTTTTCTTTGAGACAATTTGAATTTTTAAGTTATTTATCACTAATTATTTATACATCTTTAGATTAGTGATTTTGTAAACGAATTTATTAGCGATAATGGTTAATTTTTTAATTTTGTATATTGTATTAAAAAATTTATGATATTCCCATTTTTGTTGTGTATAAATCATTTATTAGTTATAGACCAAAATTTTAGGTTATTATATATTCAATCCATCTTAAATAAAATTAAATTTTTTCATACATAATAAGTCTATAGTTAATTATTTAATATTACAAAATGAAAGAATATTGGACCAATTTATTTCAAAATATTTCTAGAAAATAGTAAATAATTTATGAATTACACATGACTAGTTACACAAAAATGACTACAAAATATTGCTTGTTGCGGTGGGTGTTCAATTCCATGAACACTAAGCCCCTGTTTGGTTCAGATTAAAATTTGATTTTAATTTTAAGTCAAAATCAACAATTAATCTTAACCATACATTTCATGGGGCTCACAACTTTTCAATCATTCATTTAATCAACTTTTATTAAAATCTACTAAAAATCTAATTTCAATCTATACCATACAGGGGCTAAATATTCAAACTAAAAATTTTATCCAGTCAACTGGGCCGGTCGACATTTTAACAAAAACCAACGAGCAGACCCGATTTTTGACCGGGGTCACTTGCGTTCCACTAATATAATCCTACCGGCCCAGTAAGTGATCCGAATCACCAGTTCATCAGACCGATCAGTTGGGCCAGGCTGGGTTTATTCCAGGTAAGCATCCAACTCTTTCTTTGCCTTCTCCAAGCCAACCCTGTGAAAAGGATGAAGTTTATTATGGAAGTTGTAAAATCTCGTTACCTTCTTACAAATGACCCCAAAATACACGATTGAGGATGTTTTGCATCTTCTTTCAAACCTCTCGTACTCATTTAGAGGATCAAATGGGTAGATCTCCTCAACCCCATTGAGGCCAAGTCGTACTCTGGAAGGAAAGAAGGGAAGTTCCATCACATGAAAGATAAAAACTTCATTATTAGTTAGAGAAAATTGCAGCGATGGTCTTTAACTTTTCCAATTTTTGCAAATTTTACCATAACCTTCATTTTGTGTCAGCAAAAGCCCCTAACCTTTCATAAATATGCATCTGGAGTCCAAATAGATAGAAACTATTTGACTATCAGTTGACCAAAAAAATTAGACTTTGACCAATTTTGACTAAATTGAAAGGGTAAAATGGTAAGTTTAAAATGTTGGGCCAGGCTGGGTTTATTCCAAGTAAGCATCCAACTCTTTCTTTGCCTTCTCCAAGCCAACCCTGTGAAAAGGATGAAGTTTATTATGGAAGTTGTAAAATCTCGTTACCTTCTTACAAATGACCCCAAAATACACGATTGAGGAAGTTTTGGATCTTCTTTCAAACCTCTCGTACTCATTTAGAGGATCCAATGGGTAGATCTCCTCAACCCCATTGAGGCCAAGTCGTACTCTGGAAGCAAAGAAGGGAAGTTCCATCACATGAAAAATAAAAACTTCATTATTAGTTAGAGAAAATTGCAGCGATGGTCTTTAACTTTTCCAATTTTTGCAAATTTTACCATAACCTTCATTTTGTGTCAGCAAAAGCCCCTAATCTTTCATAAATATGCATCTGGAGTCCAAATAGATAGAAACTATTTGACTATCAGTTGACCAAGAAAATTAGACTTTGACCAATTTTGACTAAATTGAAATGGTAAAATGGTAAGTTTAAAATTACTATTAGTCTTTGACCAATTTTGACTAAATTGAAAGTGTAAAATGGTAAGTTTAAAATTACCACATTAAATAAATTAACAAAAAATAAAAAATAAAAGAAATAAAAATGGTTTTTTCTTCACCCCCCACCTACCCCCCACAACTGAAAATCAGCCACCAACACCGGTCAGCACCACCATCGGTTATATTCTTCCCTAACACCGCCCAAACTGTCAAACCCACATACCTCCTAAAAGCCATCATTCCCCTCTATACATTCTACCCAACAACCAGCCCTAACTCTACTAGATGTTGAAATAACCACCAAAAACCCCCAACTCGCTAACTCAAAAACTGTTGGCAACTCCTCCGATCACATCCACCGTTGTAGAGTATTACCAGTCGATTCCCACAATCCAAATGTCTAATATGATGATCGTAATTCAAGAAAAAATGGGACAAATAATCGACGCAGCTTCTATGATTTCAAATCCCGATCTCGCGCTGCTGCAATTTTTCCATTCACAAATTCACTAGGAAAAATCCAATTCTGGTTTTGATTTGGGTGGGTGGGATTTGATTTCTAAGTTTGATGTGATGAAATCAGTGATTTTTATTGGTTTGATTTTTGAGTGTGGGGGTGAGTTTTCTTGGTTTGATTTTCAAATGTGCAGTAAGCTTGAAGGTGGCGATGGAAGGTGTCAGCACTGGTAGAGTGTGGTGGTGAGTGGGAGTTGTGGTGACGATGCAGATGTGGGTCGAAGGTGGAGGTGGTGTCTAATAAGGTCTTGTCGAAGAAGAAGAGACCTCGTCGATTTTGATTTGAGGGATGGGTGGGATTATATATTTATTTGGGATAATTACAGCAAAAACTCCAAACCTTTGAAACATTAGCAAACGTTTTCCCAAACCTTTGATTTATTGGAGCTATCATCTCTAACAATTCCAACCATTGCATGTGAGGCTCTTTTGGATGATTTCCATCCATTTTTCCGTCAATTGACCCAAAAAATTAAGTTTGGCCAATTTTAGTATGGCCAATATGGTAACTTTGCATCTTATTATTTTTCCACATATTATTAACAATTAAACAAAAAACAAAATATGCCCTACGCACCCCCACGACATCTTCACCTTCAACTCCGGCCAACCACCACCCAAACCGCAGGACATACATACCACTAGAAAGCCCTCATCACCCTCTACAACTTCCACCCAACGCCCTACCTCGAACCTACCTAAACTTGCTGGAAAATTGAACCAAAACAGCCTATTCAAGTCCCCAAAAACAACCGAAATCTCCAATTCCGGCAACACTCATGTCATGCCCAACATTCCAGGTTATTATACACATGAAGGCCCCTCTATCCATGGTTATCAATCATCCTTAAATGCACATAAACAAAACCAGCAAACTATATCTTCAAACACTGCTACTGCACGACTTTCGGATGGCTTTTCTGGCACCAGTGGTGCAACTAATGATCGCAGACAACCACCACCAAGAACCTACTCTTCATGGTGCGTC